ATGAGCGCAGGGCGGACAGCGCGATTCTTGACTAGTTTACACACATATAGTGGAGCTCGATTTTCTTACTTGTGACAAGTTCGACGAATTCTCCACAAACCATCACCCCTAGCCATTCGCGGATGTATCTCTCACTTAAACTTGTGTGTTCGGCCAAATCAGAAGACCTCCACCTCGGTCTTTTGAGAGTAAGTTCACGCATGTGTGTGAATAGTTTTAGCTCGTGTCCAATCGCAACGCACTGGTTTAGAGCGCCGGCTGTTAGCATGTCATTGAACCTGCTTTGAAACGCTTTGCTCTTCTCCTTGTCGATAGGACGCGAGTGTTGATGGGGTTCATTCTCGGCCATATTTGAATGTATAAGTGCAGATGAAGTGTTGGTTGTTGTTACTAAAGCGTATTCTTGTGGATATATTTTATATACCCGAATATTAGATACGTATAGAATACATCAGTGTGTGCGAAAGTTGCGCACCCGCACACCATATGTCGAACCCAGCTGGATTCCCACAAGCCTCAGAAATTACATTTCTCATTAGCTTTGCATGCCGTCTGAGGCTCTGAGCCAGGGCCCGTGCTTCAAGGCTGTTCGTTCATTATGATGCCTGATGGTATGATTGGTATCCACTCACTTCTATTTCGGATTTAGATAATACTTTTATGATGACACATATTTGACACATAAATGCCACCCAAATATATGACAGCAATGTGCATAGTTACAAGCTCCTTGACTTGTGTAGGGCCCTGCATCGTACAATAAAGTATATATCTATATATTTAGCAGAATTACACGCTAAAATAGTTACATCGTAAATGTTCTGGATACTCGAACACTTCAAACTAATTGGACCATTCCATTCGACGATATGCTGCTTTCGCGCAGCTTGAAGTTCTTCATGGGATTGTGTATGCTGGCGTTACTCGTAGCACCAATACAGCAGGTTGAAGCACTCCCTGGCTTCTGCAGATATTGTAAGCACGTCATGGTTTCTCTTAATTTTGTCCAGTTTTCAGGAAAGCATTGTGCGTATCATGTTTTGAGTGAATGTGTATTTGTTCACGTGGGTACGTGGTAGTACATATCTGGTGCTTGCTAGCCAAAGAAACTGTATATGTAGTGACAATATCGTATTCAGATGCCAGAAAACAGGTGGTTAGTGATTAGATAAAATGAACCATTGATGAAATAAATACAGGATATATCAGAACACTCTTTCCAAGTACTCAAATAGGCGTGCTTATGTAAGCCATTACAAGCATGCATCGCTTGGTGCCCTACCAATCTTTTAAATTGAAAATATTTCGAATTAATAAGCTTTTTCACAGCTTATTTATTCTCAGCTACAGTGTCTTTTAATATTTACAAACAGCTAGGCTCGCTCAATCCACGTGTCGTAGGAAATACAGTGGTTCTTATATTAAAAAGAGGTTGCATTTGATGCATGCTATAGGGTACGATCTTACCGATCGGCTTGACGACACTTACAATATATTTATCTATTTAGCTGGTGTGATACTCGTCTATACAAACCGAGGATCTGAAAAACTAGGCAGTACTTGCATACAACGAACACTTCTTATCAAAGCGAAAATTCGCTCGCACTATATCACAATCATTGTGTGCCCGATGGCCTAAACCCTAAATAAACACCGCACGGCCGGATGGCCACGATTTCGTCGTTATGTCTGCTTTGTATGTACTTACTACATATATGCAACGATTGTATACTCGTCCCAGGTGACTATTGCAGCTTCTGTACGGAATGCAAGGAGTGTCCGTGCGACCATACTGACACGTGCAAGATGTGTAAATACTGCAAATTCTGCACACTTTGCACCACATGCGACTACGTCTGTGTAGAGGGTGGTGTTGTCGATCGAGTGTCGTCGTGGTTCAGTCACTTCACCTCACCTGAGGAGATCAATGTCGATGACGAATCTCTTGAAAAGGAGTTGAAGCAGTTGGGCGTTAGTAAACCCAAACGATCAATTAAAATGTAAACAACGTTGAAGATGTAGTTTTGACCGATCGCAGGACCGTGTAGTAGCACGAAAACCCCTTTTAAGCAAGTATCGCCGCCAAAGTGGGATCACTCGCCACACTCCAGGCTCGCATAGAGACATCTATGCTCTCCTTGCCCCCCTGTAATTGGAGAGAATCGTTGTCTACACCCGAATTTACCTACAGTTGAACCTACAGGCGAATATATGAACGAGAACGACAATGTCCGTGGCATACCATACAAAATAATGTCACCATTGATAGTCAACTACTAAACCATCAATATAACTCTAAGCAATAATGTTAAACCCGCAGCATAGTTCCCGAAAATGCCTTCACGAAGACAAAGTTTCCTCGTGTCAGCAACTCTTAAGGCACTCCCTCGTTTCCAATTGAATAAAACCCTATCCTTCAGCATTGAATATAGTTTTTATCCGCCATGAGCTACCATGCGTATAAACCCGTGATAGTGAACCAAAAACAATCAGGCCGTGTGAAAGATCGCATAATCGTTTCTGCAGGCCATATGAGAATGATCAATAGTGAGAGAAGGAAGCCACTTCTAACTTGAAAACTTTCGCTTCTCGACCATCGAATGTTGCTTTGAATCTAATGAATCATGTAGATAGTAAATATGTAACTGCGAGGTGCATATAAGAGTTAACTTGCCAGTCCTTTACCTTTACTATCTATTGACTAAAATTTTCGCTTCTCGACCATCGAATGCTGCTTTGGATCTAATGGATCATGCAAATAGTAAATATGTAACTGCGAGGTGCATATAAGAGTTAACCTGCCAGTCCTTTACCTTTACTATCTTTTGACTAATTATCTCGATTATATTATTAGGCTGCCAAGTTTAGCTTTTTCCTTCGACTACCAGTGACGAAGAACCACCAACTACCCAAAATCCCAAAAAGTGACAACAGCCACCACCTCCCTTGTACATCATGCGCTCGCTGTACCTTCAGCTGCTCGACATACTACATTTGGACAATGAGAAAACAACGCATGTGAGAAATTATTATTTCGTTCAGATGTTGCATATGATATAAGCTGTAACAAGACTTGCTGATCTTTTCATCATCAATTGGGTGCATGCATGTATGAGTAAACACAGTGCATATCTACCATGCGAACACGCACTTGGACAGTCGAGGGATACATACGCATGTACGGCCGAACATCCCCGTCACGAGAATAGGTGACATACATTCAGTAGTACGTCATTAGAGCTATGTGACAACATGTTACATCAATGCCCAAGTACTTGCTATACAGCAGGCAAACAATAAATAGTTAATGTGCCTAAGTGAGCGGCACTGTTCACCGCCGCCAGACAAACAGCGGTAGCATCGATTGAACAGACATGCCTCGCTCTATCCTAGGCTATACCATGAGCATAAACGTGCAGAACATATACGTACCTTCGCGTTTTCCGCCTTCTTCTTCAGGAACTGCAAGTGTAGATCCCTGGCGCGTTGCAGGTCTTTCTCGCTCTCCATTCGCGTCGGCTTAAATAGACTCTGAAACAGTGTAAGAGCAAGAATACAATATTTGTTTATTCTATGAGATTAACCACAACGACAATACATGCCACATCATAGCCTTCTAAAATACATACATATACACAACCCGAACTCCCGGATCCATTATGCTAATCTGAGGCCGCCCAACCACAACGACAATACATTATCATAGCCGTCTAAAATAGATACATATGCACAACACGAACTCCCGGATCCATTATGCTAATCTGAGGCCGCCCAACAACAACGACAATACATGCCATATCATAGCCTTCTTAAATAGATACATATGCACAACACGAACTCCCGGATCCATTATGCTAATCTGAGGCCGCCCAACCACAACGACAATACACGCCATATCATAGCCTTCTAAAATAGATACATATACACAACCCGAACTCCCGGATCCATTATGCTAATCCGAGGCCGCCCAACCACAACGACAATACATGCCATATCATAGCCTTCTAAATAGATACATATTCACAATATGAACTCCCAACTCCCGGATCCGTTATGCTAATCTGAGGCCGCCCTGTGCGACCCTGGAAAGTGAAGACAGGTACATGGCACTAACTAGTAAAAGCCATCGAACCGAAAAGAGAGTACGTGCAGTGCTGAGGTGTGATCTGTGAGAAGCATCAAGCGCACGTGCATGCGAGAAATGTATATTCATCGTCTCGTATGCACAATATGCCAGCCCATAACATGATGTCTTCTATTGTGTACATACCGTGCCTGGATGATGCGATTTGCGAGCAACTGTCCCGATTCGATATTCCCTATTGTATATCAAACGCTTTGTTTCATCACCCAATGTCTCGTATGCCAAATTGATTGCGGCAAACTGTTCTGTCGTATCCGATTTACCTGATGTCGCAGAGAATTAAAGGTGTTCCGATCGGCTAGCAGTTTAGTAATCTGTGATTCAAGACGTTTAGTATATAGTTGGGAGAAGAACCAGTTCGCAAAAAATGCATGACAACAGTGAAAACCATGCACTCAGGTAAGGTGCTTCATTCATTTATATCATAGGAATGGACGCCTTGCAATGTACAATAGTTTCGCTAGAGAAGAAGCTAACGCTGAAAACCTACTTCGATCTTTGAGAGTGCCAGATGAATACATACGCATCCCATAATGTATATACGAGTACTAGCGGCCATGAATTGTGCGCATATGAAAAGAAATGCTATATCACCGCAAAAAAAAATTACAAATATACTTTTGAGTACGTGGGCTATGCACATGTAGAAGAACATACGCACGCTCAATTGTTCTTGACAGTACCACCACTATTCATTGACATCAAACTCTTGGGCTAAACATACACACATGCGCACATCCCTTTTAAATACATATCGTTAGGAATTGGCAAACTATTCTGGTTCTACGACGATCCATGCATCAGTCGACATTAAATAATCACGACATGTCAGTCAATTTCCGCACGGATACATGTTTATTTAGAATGTACACATATATTCCAAAATGCATACACATACATCAATGCATACGCATGTGTGCAATTTCAGATAAAAACAAATAGGCATATATATAAAACGTACATAGTCAATTTCAATAGGTGTTTCAATTTCGTCGAGAAACAATCGTTCATTTCACAAGATCAAAGTAGTCAAACATACGGGATACGGACAGAAAATTATGCATGCATCAACTATTTGACCAGACACCTTGTAAATAATCACAAATCAACTATGGACTCTACAGAAACCAACCAAAATGAGTCCATGAGATTATATGAATAAGTATATATATTCAAGCGTGTCTATATATATATATATATATATATATATATATATATATATGTGTGTTGTGTTGTGTAGTGTGTAGTAGTAGTGTAGTTGTAGTAGTGTAGTATGT